TTTTTTTTTTAAAAAAAAATCATCTTAAATTTCAATGTTCCTTAATTTATCTAAAGATCCATATCAATAAGTTTAATAATCAATTGAATCAAGGACCCGTGTATGTAAATCTGATCCTTGAAGATTGACACAACTAACCAAAATCCAGATCCATTGACAAAAAAGAACAAAAATCCACATCCAAAAAATTGACACCAATCCAGAAAGCATAACCAGATCAAATCAATAGAAATACGAAGAATACACATGAATATCAAATAAAGATGAAAACTTTATTAAAAACCCAGATCCAAAAGGCCTAAATCCAGATCTTAAATTCCATAAACTTCTCGATCAACAAAAAAGATACACAAATAAACAAACTTTATCATATCAATCGTTGGCAACCGAACGGTGTGTGTGTGATGAAAATCAATGAATTGGAGAAGAGAGATCTTACAGTGATGAACACGAACCAGGAGAGAGCAAGAGAGAGGGGCAGATCTAGAAAAGACTCTGCCCTTTAGAAATGACAATAAAATGCGAAAGCTATGGATGTTCTGTTCTTCTTTTAGCGGATGCCTCAAGGATTGTCGGAAATATCAGCTATTTTAGGGAGAGGCCCTATTAAAATTTGACAATTTGAATTTTCAAATTAATTAAGTCTCGTCAGATGTGGAATTGGATTCTTTTAAACTTTTTGGCAATGTTTTAAAAGTCTAGAGAGTGAGGCGAGGCGTTTTACTTTTGACGAGGTAATGGTTAAGCCCTGAGTAGGGCTGTCAAATTTGGCCCAAGCCCAAATGACCTGCCCAACCCGCCCAAGGTTGGGTTAGTTATTGAACCGCCCATTTATTGAACTTAGCCCATCTTGACCCAACCCATCTTAACCCATTTAAAGTTGGGCTAATTTTTAGCCTAAATTGATCCATGAGTAAGTTTGTCAAAATATCTTAAAAATAATTTTATTTTTTGTTTAATATTTTAAATATGACCATAACAAAAGCAAAAAAGCCTTATTTAGTAATTATACAATTAATAAGAAAATAACACATATTAATTAAAGTTTAATAAGAGTTGGGCGGGTTGGGTTATGACCCGAATTTTAATCCATCTTGACCCAACCCATCTTAGCCCAAGTAACTTTTGGGCGGGTCATTTGACCCGCCAAATTATTGACTCAACCCATTTTGACCCACCCAAAATTGATCCAACCCGCCCATTTGACACCTCTAGCCCTGAGATATGGTAAAAATAACACGGTATAGCCAGTTTTCGGACTGGTTAATCAAAAATAGCCAGCGTTTACCAAGTCAATGAAAAATAGCCACCGTTTTGCTGCAGTAGAGACCGGTCCAGCATAATATACTGGAGTTCGGTGCACTTGTGTATGAACTCCAGCATATTATGCTGGACCGGTATACTTTGCTGGTTCCAATATAATATACTGGAGCACTGGTGCTCCAAACTCCAGTATATTATACTGGACCATTATACTTGCTGGAACTCGAGTATATTATGCTGGAGTTCTAGTGTACTTATGCTGGAACTCCATCATATTATGCTGGACTTCCAGCATACTATCCTGGAACTCCAGTATAATATGTTGGAGTATACTTATGCTGGAACTCCAACATAATATACTGGAGCATTTTTCGGGTTTTTGAACAGTGTTTTCGCTCAGATTTATCTTTACATAAAAAATGGCTAAATTTCGATTACTTTTGAAATTTGGCTATTTTTGAACGACCGGTTGTAAATCTGGCTATTTTTAAAAATCACCCATACTGAATCTAATTGAGACGTTTTCTCTATAGAGCCTAATGATTGGGCCATGAATTGTTGGGTTAATACTGTAAAAATTGCACAGGGCGCCCTATTTGGGCGCCCCCTTTTAACCTGTAGCCGCTTTGTCTTTCTGTTTGCACCCGTACCCACTTTTTAAAAAACTTCAGCTTCCCTTTCTCCTCCCCTTCTCCTCCTCTTCTTCTTCTTCTTCTTCTTCTTCTTCTTCTTCTTCTTCTTCTTCTTCTTCAATACCACAGTTCTTGCTCTTCACTGTAGTTAGTGTTTGAGATAAGCCTTTACAAATAGAATATGAGATTGGAACTTGCTAGTTTCATGCTTTGCGGTAACTGAAGAAGATAGATTTTTCTGGATTTAGCTTTTGCACGATATGTAATCGTCAGATTTTCATTGACCATTCTAACAAATTTTNATATCATAATATGCAAATTAGCTGCAATGTCGTTACAACTCAAACATCAAAAGTAATGTATTCAATACGAAATCTTATATGTATCTCTTAAGGAGTAATGAATCTTGAAAGAATTTCGATATTATAATTTGATATTCTTTCTTAAAATGCTCATTTTATTTAATATGCTTTCTATTTGAAAGATAATTTTTTATACAAAAACATAATTCACAATTTAAAGATGATTCTCTAGCACCATTTATTTTTAACTTTCAACAAATTAATAAAGTGACACATAATTCACCATAGAATACCATAATAACTAATTATTTATAAATAGTTACTAGCTAATACTGAGATATTAAATTAATAAGTGTTGTATCTCGTAAACGTGAAAAAAAAATATTTAGAAAAATAGTTATAAAAAATTTATGGAATATTATATAGTAAAGACATAACAAAAGTTAATAAATAAATAATTTTAAATGAAAGATTTATTTAAAATTAACTATCATAGCAACCTTAGTGGATAACATGCAATAATTTTTATTTTAATTATGACATAAAATACTCTCAACTTAATGATTTATAATTAAAAAAAAGTAATTTTGAGTACTCAACGATTTATTAAGAAAATTTGAGGATTTACAAGGTTAGTTACATACAATAGCATAAAGTTCTATTAGGCGAGTCCAATACGTTAGGCGTTGGGCGTGTCCGGGGCATAAGCCCTAATGGCCAAGGAGTAAGTCTCACGGAACTAAGCCCCACACATAAGCCCAAGGGCGTTTTACGAGTGTTCCGTCCCGGGGTGAGCCCCGCGAGTCCCAATTCTGTCTTTTAAAACAGAGCTTTTTGGGTGACAAATAGTAGAAAATTTCTAGATTCTTTACCACCACTCATTTGGAATTGTGCCGCATGGTAACTATATTTAATGAGGGAGTGCTTAAATAACAAAAAAAAATTTAACAGTTTCCTTTCTATAATAATTTCGTTCGTTTCGATATTTTTTGGCTTTTATAGTAAATGGTTGTTATACCCCTATAACATCATTTGACGTTTAAATATATTTTGGCTGTTATAGATAAAAATTATCCAAAAATTAATTATTTTTCATTTTTTAATGGTACATATAAAAGATAAAAAAAATTATTCAAATTTAAAATCTCAAAAGATATGCATATTTCACTAGTTAAATATTGAATAAAGCTAATACATTATTAATAAATTCATAACTAAACCTATAAAGATTTAAAATCTAAGTCGGATATTTTAAAACTACCTAAAAATTAATTCTTTCAAGATTGATGGAAAAACTTTGTAATTGTAGCTTGTTTTGTAAATTATTCTCTTATTAGCGATATAACGCTTGAATTGGCTAAGATTTATGTTGGCCTAAGTAAATTTATTTTTATGATTGACAAAGGAACTCATGCATGAATCATGTCCATACACAGTGTGCACAGGGCACGGGCAGATTCAAGCATAAGACATGCACGTGAAGGAGATAAGCACAAGTGGTTATATATGATATCTTCTGAACAAAAAGGTTGCATAATTGATAAGGAGCGAGACTCCTTACTTGAGGAGAACTCTATCGTAGATAAGGGAGGAGTTAGAAGTTGAAGATAACTAGAACTCTTCCACCACAGAAAAGTAAAGCATTAGAACTCTAGTTATTTCTTATTCTACTAACTCTATATATATCAGTTTGTTCTCTTCTACAAGTGACGCACAAACGCTAAAGTTAAGCAAGAGTTGAGAGCAAAATAGCAAGGCATTTTGCAAGCAATTCCTGTGTGTTTCAAGTGTGTGAACCTTAAGCTACATGAAGCAGATAGAAGAACCAGTTCCAAGTGTTTGTCTTTTATTCTAGTTCAATTGTAGTAGGGCTTTTGAGTTATACCTTTTAACTTTATCTAGAAATAGGTACTTTGAGTTGTTGCATTCAAGTTAGAGTTAACTTGAAATTTTCGCAACAACTTGAGGTTGGTTGCCACAAAATGTTAGAGGTAAACCTTAAGTTTACAAGAGTTTTGTAAACGTTATTTTTGGCTCAGTGATTTAGTGAAGTGTTGAAAATCCTACTGGGTAGTAGGTCGTAGTTTTTTCACCTTTTGAGCCAGGTGTTTTCCACATAAAAATACTTGTGTTCTTTGCTTTCTGGACTTATTATTTTGCAATTGCAGTATAAGGAACACATAGAAACCGGGTCTTTCTATAATCTGTGCACGTAAAAACTTAGACACCACATAAATCACCTCATCCCTCTTGTGTGGTATTGAAGTATAAAACATCAATTGGTATCAGAGTAGGTTATCCTTAAAGTGGCTAACACCTTAGGAGAAGATCAAAATGAGTGCACCACCTAAAAAGTAGGAAGGGCAATCCACTGCTAGGCCACCACTTTTTAACGGCCAGTACTACTCTTGGTGGAAGTCAAGAATGAGAGATCACATATAGAGAGAGGACAATGAGCTATGGGACATTGTCACTGATGGTCCACTGGCTACTTTGAAGAAAAATGCTGAAGGAGTAGATGTGCCAAAGACAGGAGCTGATTTCAATGTTGAGGATCTGAAAAAGTGGAAAAAGAATGCCAAAGCCAAAAAATGGCTTGTTTGTGGACTTTGTCCATATGAGTATAACTGAATCCAAGGTCTTTCCACTACCAAGCAAATTTGAGACATACTACAAGTGACCCATGAAGGAACTACTCAGGTGAAAAGATCTAGAGGAACTCTAATGTACTCTTATTTTGAAAACTTTACTATGAAGGATGGAGAAATCATTCAGGAGATGTACACAAGATTCACTACATTGACAAATGAACTAAAATCTCTTAGCAGGATTATCCCTGAAGAAGAAAGAGTTGAGAAGTTACTCATTAGGGTTTTACCAATTACTTGGGAAAGCAAGATCACTGCCATCCGGGAATCAATGCATATTGCTAGTCTCCCTCTAGATGAATTGATTGG